GCGCACTGTTAAAATTTTGTCAACTAGCAGGTTAGAACCTATTACCTTTTCTTTGATTGGATGAAAATGTATAAATGATGAATTTATATACCCCTTGTTTCTTTAATGATTGGTATCAGTTTTAGAGCAAATAGGGAAAACTTTAGAAAATCCAAAGCCTTCATCACTTGGTGGAATATGATCCTGAGCATAGGGATAATGTCCTCTTTGTAACTAGTGCACCTCCAATCATAGCTAATGGATGGTACCTTTCACCCTGCAAAATTCTTTGTGTATTCCAGTCATCCCTGCCTCTCCCCCATTTTTCATGACAACATATGATACCCCGGCTCTCAGTCAGATTTCTCCATGATGGCATGATCCAATCACCTGTTCCTCAGCCAATTATATTTTTATGATGTAATGGTCTCAACATTAGGATCCAAGGGGTTTATTCTTAAGATTAAATTTTATTAGTTTTATTTTGTTGTAGCATAATTTATTCGTATGATGTGTTTTTACTGTACATACACATGGTTTCATACTATATTTTGTGCTATCTGTGCCATTATTATATTTGGATTGTTTATGCAGTACATCATGCTTGATGTCCATATTCCATCAGAAACTTTGTGCATGTATAAGATGTATATAGTATATCTAAAAATGTACAAAATAAATGGGTGTTCCCCCAACTACAGGTTTTGGTAGAAGACGGAGTTCACTACCTAGAGGATGGACACTTCTGGGTGGAGGTTCCTGGCCTGCCAGAAGAAGATGAGGAAGATGAGCTGGATCCAACACTCCCCTTCCACCAGCACACTCGCCTTACTTTCTCCAAGGATCCCATTCAGGTCTCTGAGTTTAAGTATCCTAATTAGAATCTCAGACTAGTCATTGTATTTTTTGTATAAAGAGCTTATGTTCTATGATTTGGTAAAGGTATTAACACCTGTTCAGTGATCACTATTTCATTTAATATGAAATTTCACTTGAGAGTATAACCTTTCTCTCCAACAGGTATTCAGCACCTATTCTGTGACAGAGTATGACCGAAAGAATGATGAGGTTGACCCTGTTGCTGCCAGCGCTGAGTATGAATTGGAGAAGAGGGTCGAGAAGATGGATGTCTTCCCAGTTGAAATTGTAAAGGGTAAAGAAGAATTTCTCTCTCTGTGCATGTATTTATATCGTACAACTTATAGTCTAGTAAACAGTCATTGACAAGAAGCAGCTGATAAGGAAGCTAGAAGCTCACCCAAAAATCTAAAAAACAAAATTAACAGGTGAAGGAGGCCTTGGTCTCAGCATCATTGGCATGGGTGTTGGGGCCGATGCTGGTGTCGAAAAATTAGGCATCTTTGTGAAGACGATAACTCCAGGTGGAGCTACGGAGAGGGATGCAAGAATACAAGTCAATGATCAGGTAAATCTCCCTTTTGCAGAATTATAGTTAAGATATAGAATAAAGATTTAAGATACATGTGCATATCATTGTTATTATATAGAATGGAATATAAATAGTGTAATTAAGGGAGATGAAGAGAAGGGGGTCGAAAGTTGTAGATGATGTTTTATGTAAGTATATTTTTTTCCAGATTATTGAAGTTGATGGAAAAAGTCTGGTTGGAGTAACACAAGTTTTTGCTGCTTCTGTTCTAAAGAACACTAGTGGCCGTGTGCATTTCCTTATTGGTAGAGAGAAGGACCCAGAAAATAGTGAAGTAGCTTTGTTGATTAAGCAGTCATTGCAGGTATGTTCACATTGGTACAATGAGAGATCTGCATGATTTGCAACATGGTTCAGGGCTCCCAGATGCTTTTGCTTTCTTCAGGTGTTCTTCTACTTCCTTTTCCGAAGAAATTTTAATTTTGTTGTATCTGTGCATCAAGTTTCTGTCTTTTCTTTCCTATAAAAAGATTGTCTATGTCTGCTAGATCAGCTGTATGTACTGGTACAGGAAAATTGTTATTATTAAAATTGTGGATAAAATGTATGTTTTACATCATTCTGTTAATTTTAGTTAGATATCTAGAATTCATCAAGTTCTTCTGTGCAGTTTTTCTTGTGTTTTGTGATGCTCTACTTGATAGCAAGTGACACCATTAGATACTGCCAGTGATCCATATTTCACTTTCATACTTTGTTAGTTAGAAGCCTAGATAGGATATAATAAATGGTGCAGTAGATGTCATAGGAGAATATATATCTTAGAAAAAGGTTTGGAAGTACCAGCAATTTTTTAATGGATTCATCATGTGTTCTGAGTTTGTGCTGAGAGTCACCAGTGCTGTATGATAACTGCAATAGATGAAAGAGAACCTTTAATATTATGTGACAGAAAATATTGCTCTCCTTAGTATGAAGGATGGTTTCCTTTCAACTAAGAATATTGTAGCAGAGCATTCAGAATCTTCACATAGTTTTCTTCTGCTACTTGCAAAAGGATTTTGCAGGTGAAGCTTCAAGGTACTGAATTAGCTAGAGCCAATATATATATATATATATATATATATATATATATATATAATATATATATATATATATATATTATATATATATATATATATATATATATATGTGATGTATGACCATCAATGATTTTTAAGTAGGCATAGCTGCTAGAGAGACATTTACAGCTTTAAAGAAATTGCAGGAAAAGCATACTGTATACAAACAAGTATTCCCATGATGTGACATCTTTATTTTTCACAGCAGTATGGATAATAATTAAGGAAATACATGTCCTTGGATTCATTTGAGTTTTGTGCCAAGGATCAAATGTAAAATATTGACATTATAACAAGTTAAAAGGTTTACTAAGAACAAAACAACACAAGGGAATTGTTAAATTATATGAAAGCAAACCGGATGAGTTTAGAAGGATTACCTTGATGCAGTGTTTGATGGAACCCATAATTTACCTCATGAGCTGGAGACATATTGTTTGTTTCAATGGATTTCCCTCCAGTAATAGCTCTTCATCAATGTGTACATAGTTTTAGTAAATAAAGTCTTCCCCACTTGTGGTGTTTACTGTTTATTACCTACAGTGAACATATATTTCATGTAATTATTCGCACATGAGAATAATCAAAGACTTTATGTGTTGGGCATGTTGACTAACTGTAATTGCTTACTATGTCACACTGCTGTGCGGGTGTTGTATTTCCATAATCCTGCAATTAAACTGAACATTATTGAGAGATAGTGAAAATAAACAGTAAAGAATGAATAAAGAGAATAATTAGAAATATTATACAAAACAGTACTAAAAGCAGAAGGGACTTTGTAGTAGTTAAAAAGTTTCAACACTGCTAGCCTGGAGCAAATTCTTGGTTGAAAATGTGTTCTTGTTGAAATAAAACAAAAGGTGGTAAACCAGTGCATGTATGTACTGTAACCTGGATGTATTCACTCCATCTTATAAAATGAAATAATGAAAGATTAGTGTTTTTGAAGATGTCAATTCTTTGAAATGCTAAACTGGTGATAACGTTTGATTAATTGTGGAAAAAGATATTAGAACAAACTATGTATACATTTGATAAACTAGAAACCAATGATATAAGAGTGGATGAAAATAAAAGGAATCCTGAAGGTGATTAAGATTTATTCATTATCACAGTAATATATCTAAAAGCTCCGTAATATATGATGCAACCAGTGATTATCTAAAGTTGAAAAGTTTTTGTCATTAGGCCTTTTAAAGAAACTTTTTCTTTTAATAAGCAGTCTGTATATGTCTAACATACTGCCTGTACCCAAAGCCTGAAAGCATGTGACATATTTCTTAACATTTTTTAAAGATATTGGGAGCCCTGTTGTGGACATTGGATAGATAGCCAGACATATCTTTGTCATGCATGTGCACTTGGAAAAAATAAGACATATTCTATTATACTCTTCTGATCTATCCAGTAACAATCTTCTTCAAATATCTATTTGGTGTCTCCATTTTCTAACTCTAACTTCTTTCTTTTATCATGATTGATTTTCGCTTTCTCATTTGCATGCTATTAACCAGCCACAAGCCTATTGAAGCATTACTGTATATATATTTAAACTTATATCTTCTATTATTTAGATATATGAATGAGTCATGCAATATTTTAAAAATTTATATCATAACATTATTGCAAACATTCATGATTATGAAATAAACAAAATGTAAACTGTATAGGATATATTTAGAAAAAAAATGAAGGATAACTTTGAACTTGGTATTGGGCCAATAGATATTCTTAAGCATTTTTCTACACATTTAACCAAAGGCTGACATGGAGAGAGAAGAGCGTCGACGAGCACTGGGTGGTCCAGACTATGATCCCCATGCAAATCATGGCCTCTTTGACCCCCTTTCTTCCCCTTCGGAGGAGAATTCCCGTTCGGAGGACATGTCAATGCACCACAACAACTATTCATATATGGAAGGAGGCTCATCTCCCACATCCCCAGATGCTGTGTCACCTCCAGCTGAGGTATTTGATTTGGAGGGTGACACATCTGACACCTCGCCTGATAATGATGTAGCGATGCTGAAGCTGAAGCTCAAGGAGGTGAGTGATAAGGGCTGTCTACAAAGATAAGCTTCAGGAGAAAGTTGTCCTATTATTACACTGATTATAATGTAATATGACTCCAGGGAAGTGGATACAGATACATACAGAAATATATATATATATATATATATATATATATATATATATATATATATAATATATATATATATATATATATATATATATATATATATATATATTATATATATATATATATATATATATATTATATTTATATATTATATATTTATATATTTATATATTTATATATTTATATATTTATATATTTTTATATATATTATTATATATTATATATTTATATATATATATATATATATATATATTATATATATATATATATATATATATATATATATATATTTATATATTTATATATTTATTTATATATACATATATATATATTATATATATTTATATATATATATATATACTGATGA